TGCGTTTTTGTTTTTGTTTTTGTAACGTCTTTGTGTTCCCTGAAGATGACCGCTTAGGTCGAAAGCTTGGAAAGAAGTTTAAAATTATTCATGGTTATTCACTGCATATAAATATGAAAAATACAACCAACAAAGATCTTAAAAAAAAGGAACGCAGCCTTGTCTTGGCTTTTCTTTGTTTTGCACATCCCAATGGGTATTTTGCCATCCAGTATAGCGGATTTTCCACCATGTGACCGTTTCATGCATTTATGATTGATGTCTAATCCATCACGACCATATTATTATCTATGTTTGACTTTTTTCGCCACTATTCGCGTAGTTTCGCTAGTACATTTTTTTGTCTACCATTCGCGGTATTGCTGAGTATTCACCATATTCGCACTATTCGGTCACTATTTGGGTTTTATCACTTACCTATGTGCATCTACGAACTGACCTCCACATCCAATAACAGCTTTTACACCTTTTGCTGTTCATTAACCGCGAAGGCACTTTCAATCAAGCGAAACTGCATTGTCTTTAGCGCGAACGAACGTTCATTAACGCTTAGGGAGTTTCAAGAGCGTGAAGGGAGAATCATTAACATATTTAGCATAGACATGGACAATCATGCATAACTGGGCGCAGATTCATTAACGTTTTCAAACTTTCATTAGCCCATTATGTACATTCAATAAACTACAACAAACATGCAATACCAAAATACGGTATTATCGTCGTGTACGGGAAACCGCAGGGGAGTTTATTGTAATGCAAATTATCCCGACCATAATTCGTGTTCACTTTGTTCTTATATAGCTGTTTCAAAAAAGGTTGTCGGATAAAATGGCGAATGTCAATGGACGAACGGCGATTGCACGACCGAAAGTAGCCATGGATTTTGCTAGTTGAAAGGCAATAACAACTGATTTGTACTGTAAGATGGTCTGTGGTAAACATTGGCTCCATTTAGTCTCCATTTCTATGTAAGGCTAATCCAATAAGTGAACTTTTGTTTATCAAAGCAGTGTAACCATAGTCCCTTTCGGTCGTGCAATCTCCCTTCGACAATCGCCGTTCGCCGTTCTCCCCGACAACGTTTTTTGAAATAGCTGTATATTAATAATCCAGTTTCGAATTCTCCAATGCTCTGTGTTAGCCTCATTTGTGCGCAAAATATTCCTAATTGTGAGAATAAAAGTGTGAGATTTCAAATCAATTCTATTGTCTTTTTCAAATTCCATGCGTTTTCACAGGCTATCAATAAAACAAAAGAATATGTTACTTGGTTTTGAGGCTAACACAGAGCAAACCAGAACTCGAAATTGGAGTATTATTTAGTGAAATGTTAATGAGAACTTGTTTAAATACTAGAAAAAAAGGAGTGCAACCAAGCGAATTCACTCGTGGCGTAACCGGTTAGGTTTAGGGTTAATGGTCGGGTAGGTCATATTTAGGGTTCGCAGGTTCGAATCTTATCTGCGTGAGCAATTTTTTTTCTAAGTGAGGATAACCAAAAACCTCAAAATATTTCTAAGTCCCACTCGTGTGTTCGGAAACATATGACGTACTTGGTTTCCCGCTACACGACGATACTACCAAAATACGGACATTTAATTTCGTCATAGTTTTTGCAGTCAAATTTCAGCGTGAAATATGACTCGTTACAGCTATAAAAGTACTACGGCTTGTTTTAAGTTGGAATATAGCAATGCCTCCGCGTCGACATACTAGAAATCGAATTTCGAGCGAAGTGAAAGAGCGTCTTGTAAGAGCGTATGAGGACCCGGCCGAGTATTATCTAGCGGTTGCTGCTACATTGGGGGTTAATAGTTCTACCGCAAGAAGTATAGTTGCCCGCTATATTCGTGACAGAAGAGTCGCTGACCTTCCACGTGGTGGACGAAACAACGTTAAAGTCGATGATGAAATGAGGCAATGCTTGGTGGACATTGTGGATGGGGATTGTACGCTAACATTACA